ATGCAACTTCTGACAACTTCTGCTACAGAGCAAACATTCAGGCAATCCTTCTGCATTGGCAATGAATGCAAATTATTCGGTCCAAGAAACGTTGAATCCTCTTTTCTCCTCAGTTATTTTTTTCTTTTTCCCTTTGGGATACATGGCCCCTCACACAGCCACCTGCCTGGAATCCCGCCCTGCTGATGGAAACGTGTCTCGCAGGCTTTGACGCAAATGTTTGTGGACAGAAATTTTTAAATTTAACATTTATTCTACGCATTTTAAAGCATTGGAAAACGTTAAGAATGTCTGTGTCGTGTTTGTCCTCCTACAGAAACCACATTAAAACAAAAAATATATTTCCTTCCCCCATCTTTTTCCATTTCCAAACATTTTTTGAAAAAGCTTCAGGGAGCCACTAGGGCAGCGCTAAAGAGCCGAATGCAGCTCCAGAGCCGCGGGTTGCAGACCCCCGGGCTAGGTCCTCAGGTTGTGGAGGAAATTATGTCGAGAAAGGGTGAGGAGTGGAGTAGATGGATGTCTCAAGGTGGTGAGGAGAAGACAGGGGGTCTGTAAGTAGGAGTGGGGGAAGGTAGAGTGGTCGTTGTTGGGTAGCCAGCAGCAGAGACTTGTGGGGGATGGGCCTCAGTATCAAATCTATTGAAAAATAGGTTTAATTCATTGGCCCGTTCCACTTGGCCATCCAACGCCATGCCACAAGTTTTCTGGAACCCGGTAATGGTTCTCATTCCAGTGAGTACCCCCTGCACTCTCCTTACCTCATCACAGTTGCCATCCCTGAACGCTTGCTTCTTGTCATTCAGGATGGCCTTAATGTCCATGGTGATCCATGCTTTGTTGTTGGTGTAACAGGTGATGGTTCGAGCTGGTATATTGCAGTCCAGAAAGAGGTTGATGTAGTCTGTGATGCACTCTGTGAGCCCATCAATATCCTCCCCGTGGGACTCACAGAGTGCCGGCCAGTCTGTCAAATCAAAGCAGGCCTGCAGTGTCTAATAAGCCTCCTCCGACCACTTCCTCCCAGTCCTTGTGGTCGTAAGCATCTATTTCACCAGAGGCGCATAGCAGGGTATGAGGTGGACCAGGTTGTGATCCGACCTGCCCAGAGGGGGAGAGAAGGTGGTGACATGGTTGAAGTCTCCCGACATGATGATGAGGGCAATGGGGTGTTGAGTCTGTAGTTTGGAGATGGTGGTGTATATGATGCTGCAGGCAGATGTTGGGTTTGCAGAGGGCAGCAATGATGACGTGAGGGATCTCTCTGGGCAGATGGTATGGATGGAGTCCAACGACCAACAGTTCCACATCCGGGCTACAGAGCTGTTCTTGAATGGTGATGTGACCCGGATAACACCATCTGCTGTTTACTAGAATGGCAAGTCCCCCTGCTTTCCGCTTGCCACTCTTAGTATCCCGGTCGGCCCAAACGGTGTGGAACCCATCCATGGAGACATGGATGGGTTCCGTTATGTCCTTGCGCAGCTACGTCTCTGAAACACATCAGACTGCACTCCCGGTGACCCCACGTCAGCGCTGTTAGCTCGTCCATCTTGTTGCCAAGAGATAATAATAACAGAGGTGAGATACGGCTTAAATCTTCTCCTCTCAATAAGCCCTTGCCGTCTCTACCCTCTTTTTATCCCCGATATTGTTTTCCTCCACTGCAACCTCGGCTTGTTTTCCTCCAGAGTTTGGATGGTATCTCATCTGGTCTGGCCACTACGCCGTCCGGCTTCAGTGCGATCAGCTTTTTTCCCCGAGTAAACAACGGCAGCGTGTCCCGTTGTAGGCGTCATAGAAAAAAAAAAGCATGATTAAAAGCTCGAAACTTTCTGAAAACTACCTCGTCATAGAGGACAAAACTTCCCGGAGTTACAGTGAAGCAACAGAGCACACAAAGAGAAAAAAAAAAGTTAAGAAAGTTAGAAAAAAGCTAACACAAAATTTGGAGCACCGTAACAGGAAGCCTGCACCAAAAAAGTTTTTGAAATCATAAATATGGTGCAGACTGGCATATTTTCACCATTAAGACGGACAGCAAAGAAAAGCAACACTCTAGCAGAAAAGACTTAAATCTTAACATTGAAATTTAGGATCTTATGTTTCACTGCTGTTGTTGCTAGGATGCTCATGTTTTATGAAACAACATATGAAGATATTAACATTGCACATGTAACATCTCTTAATTGCTGAGATACAGATTTGTTTGCTCATCGAGAGCACACCCAGGGGAGATTTCCTGTGTAACGTTGGAGCACAGCCTTGGTGATTCACACCTTTAATGGCTGAGGTGTCCCAATGTGATATTGCATCAGTAAATAAACACACATGGAGTACAAGACTAAAGAGAGCCATAACATTAAAGTACAACAAAACTTTAAACAAAAGATAATCTACGAAATAAGCTGCCCCCTTTCAATTGCACGAGTAATATATTCCTATTAAAGTAAGAATTGATATGAAAATATTTTTGTAGAAATAAACAAACTTTGCAAAACCTTGATTCCCTTTAGCTGCCGCATACATTATGACTTTAATGATTGTGTTCTGACTGACATAGCGATAGTGGCCAGCCTTACATCTAGAAGATATTTGTTAAACTACTACCACAACAAGGCATTGAGTGGGTTGATTTGATGGCCTCAAGATTGGATGTCTGCTTTTTGGAGTTTATGTTGTTCTGTTGGCTTCATCAGGCAGGGATCTGCAACAGTTTTAGTCAGTGAACCCAGTGCATTACATCTCTCTTCTTACGGAAATACAGTGATTATTTTCTATGAGGCAGCATGTTTGTCAGGCAAACTATCCAATAGGTAAATCAGTAGCCTATTGCGGTGAATTATGGGATGATCGTCTTCAAATAGCTCAAGTGAAGGTGCTGACGAAAAAACTCTCTTGAGGCAGACTTGGTCGAACAAAGAGGACTTTAGTGTCAGCCAGGTCCGACTCAGAAGTACAGATTGATGTATCAAGTCTGGAGAGGTCTCATCGCCCAATGTAAGAGAAAACTCTGGCCTATTCTGGGTGTGTCTGCCCCCATATTTAGTATTCCCATACCTGTAGTTTTTTCCTTACGTCAGGCTGTTGTCATCCAGGCGCGCAGCCCAAATATGGTTCTATCCATATCATAAACCTTTTCCTTTTTTGGTCCACCACCAAGATGTCTCCCTCTGGACGTACAGCTAGGGTATACCTTGTCCATATCATGAACATCTCCTTATTTGTCCTCGGTCAGGCCGTCTCCATAGTTCATCCATAGCTTGAGCATCCTCCCTACACTCTACTTTAGGAATGTGTTTTCTGAAATGTTTATGTTACACACTAACAGAATAGTCTGTGCTTTTGTTTTGTTTTTTGACAAGGTGGCGCTTGGCTCACACCCTTTTCCATATTCAAATCTTCAAGAACTTTTCTTGAAACCATCACCTGATCATGTTATGTAGCCTGGCTGGGTGTTATCTGGCTTAGGTTCAGGTCTGGAAGTGCCAGAGATCGGAATGTGGTATAGGGTTTTTTCTCTGCGCTCTCACAGGTGTTGCCGATTGCGTTGGTAAGTTTGACCTCCGCTGGTGGGGATGTGGTAACTCCTGTCTTTGTGAACTGGTCGTGTCCCTGCTGCAGGTGCCCAAGAACCTTCCTGCTGGCAGACACTGATGGGCTTACCAAGGTGTAGATGAAGAATCCCTCTGGCAGTTCTGTTGAAGTACAACTGCTGCCGCTTCGCACAGAGTGGATCGCGTACTAACTGCTGACAGATGACTTGGTGATTGGTGGTTGCAGGAAGGATCGAGCATAGTCTCCGGGTCATGAGAAGCTGTGGCGGTGACTTAAGGCTGTCCATTGGTGTGTTGGGGTACTCTAGCAGGCTGAGATAGGGGTCCGTGTTTCCTGCTTTGACCATGTCCAGGCCTCAGTATAGAATTGTTGAGGGACTTAGGGGTTTAGGCACACCCTCTGTTGTCCTGTCTGTTTTTTCTACTACAACAAGTGAGGAGGCCCACGAAAGGAAGGCCGCAAAATATCAACAGCTGGCCCAAGACTGCCGAGACAGAGGCTGGCAGGCGTGGGTCTTCCCTGTGGAGATAGGGTGCAGGGGCTTTCCAGCAAGGTCTGCGTGGAACTTCCTTTCTGCCATAGGCATGGATGAGCACAGTAAGAAGCAGGCAGCTCGTCGGATGGGGGAGGAGGCGGAACGTGCCTCATGCTGGATTTGGAGTAAGAGAGAGGAGGAAAGCTGGAAGCCAGGAGCAGATGGGCAGTGAGCTGGCCACTCACTGCGGGCCCACCAACTGGAGGGTGTTGTGGTTTAGGGCTGAAACACCCAGTGAAGGTTGGACACCACCTGATGACATCTGCTCCTGGCGTAAAGCTACAGCTACCTGCTTAGGTAGCCGAGAAAGGCACCTTGTGTGTATTCATCAAATACACCCATTCAGTGGGCTCTGTGACTTTACAGATAATGTTGTCAATTTCCATTCTGCTTAGCCCATCTTGAAAGTTGCTTTTTAGGGTTATAGAGATCCTAAAGGGTGGGCAGACTACAGGTGTGATATCAGGGTCGACATGAAAGTTTCATTTCCCAGGGAATTTACCTATGCCCTGGAATACACCTGCATACTTTTCCCTTATGTTCTGACAGGCAGTGTCCATTTTGTATCTGTTTTCAGACACAGCCATCACTATTTTGACAAGATTTAGATCAGGGCATGAACTGGTGGAGTGTTAGCATCAATGATGTTGAAGTCTACCAGGAATGTATTCTTTTGTTTCTGCACTTTAAAATGCGATATTTTCTGCACTATAAGCCGCACTTTCAATGAACGGCCAATGTCAAAATTGTTTCCATATATAAAGGGCACCACATTATAAGGTGCATAGAATAGAAGCAACAGTAGTGCCTGGGGTTGCGTTATGCATCCACTAGATGCAGCTGCGCTTAAGAGAATGGCAACAAAACAGTCAGATGAGTCAGTCAGATTTTATTAATAGAATACAAACCAGCGTTCTGACAACTAAATTCATTCCCGAAATTAATAAACAGCTGTTTAGTTAATTTTCCCGAGGTAATGTCCTCCATTCAGTAAACACGTTGTCACGACCACTGGTCATGGCAACAGAGAACCCAAACGCACGACAGCGAGGCAGGCAAGTTTAGAGGGACATTCCGTTTACTTGGTCAAAAACAGGCAGGGTCAAAACCAGAATATCAATAATACAGGCAAACAAATCCCATAAGAGGCAGGCGGGAATCCGAGGTCAGAGAAGGGCAAAAGCGCGATCAGAACAGGTAGGCAGAACAGGTCAATGCGGTAAAGCTAGGCACGAAAAAACACAAGACAATTCTGCATGTAAATAAAAATCAGATGACCAACATGTATATACTTTAGGTTTATTAGAGAGGAAAGCAAAGCAGAAATCCACCTGTGTCATAATCAGTTGGTTGGGTCGGGGTGTTGTTTTAGTAGATTGGCAACATTTCTTGAATACAAATACACTTTCAGAAAGTAAGAACTGGACAAACTTGTAGTATTTCAATGTTCCCCCTTATCTGTTTATCTCCATTTGTTTCGCATAAATACCTACGTCAGTTACCCTCCTTTCTGGAAAAACTGTCTGGCCCTATTTTCTTAAAGTTGAGTAGAGCGATTTAAGTTGACCCTGGCTGGGGGAAAAAAGCTACCCCAATCTTCCTCTTATCTCCAAAATGCTTAAGTGAAATCACAGCTAGAATTGACAATTAGACAATTATTGTTAAAGTGGAGTGTATAATTCTGCAGTTTAATGAAAAACTGAGCCATTTGAGAAGATCTAATCTTATCTGTAGGAGATCATTGTGCACATGAGTAAAATATCACTTAACTTATGTATGAATCATACATCCATACACATACAGACACACATGATTACTTTAAATAGAATTAAAATAAATACACAATTAAAATATCAAAATATATTTGTTAGTTATTAAAATACAAATGTTTTAAGTTATTTAAAAAAATTGAGAAGGCTGCATTAAATACAAAAAAAAAAAAAAATGGATTTAGATTACATACTGATCATGAGCACTAATAAAATAAATATAATCAAAAGCAATTAACAAGCAAATAATGACAATTAATTAACTGACATAATTTTGGCGATAACGTTTTACATGTTGTAGATATTTCTGGAACATAACTTTGTTAATTGAAGTTAGGCTGGAGAATACTGCACATTAGCCTCATTAAAGGCTAATTATTAAGTTCCTTAGAGATCAAGGAAAGCAAAAAGTGACTGAAAAAGAGACTTTAAACAATAATTCACAACAATCTTTTACAACACTCCTTTTACACCAGTTATTATCATTGCACCTCCAATAATTTAGTTGTATTTGATCATTTATTTATATGAATATATCACATAATGACACTAAGTCTATGCTTTAGGAGTCTCATGCATTACTGTGATATGACTCCACAGAGTCACTGTTGCTATTTGATGTTGCAGTCTGTGAAACATGGTAGGCATCTGGAAGGAAAAAAAATAAAGTTGATTAAGATTATTCAAATTATTCAGTCTCTCCAAAAGTGTTTGTGACCCTTGTTACAAATATAGGGCCTCCCTTGTTACCTACCGGCCCTGCCAGGGCCAGGCCCCTGCTGAAAAAGTCTATCTGTCTGGCAAAAGGGGAAAAAAAAACAACTTACATCTTCTTCCACGGAGCCAACTTATCAGATTTGTTCCACTTAAAGAGGAAATGCCAGCACTTGTGCTCTATGATAGAAAACAAGTCAAAGGTGAAAACGTTATGATTTTGAATCGATTAAATAATGCAATATTTCTGTGATATCCCTTGTAATATTAAAAAAAATACTTACTCTTGTTGCATAAGAGCTAGTGCTGAGTGAAGGTACGTTTCTTGACAGGAGAGACCGGATCTACAAATAAACAAATGTATGACTTTCACAACTTCATTTTGACTTAAATAAAAATAAGAAAGAGCTGGCAGCTCCGGGTTTCTGTAGGTTTTTAGTGCTTTAGTGCTATTTGGTGATCAATAAAGTATCTATCCATCCATCCATGCCATTTTAATGGGATTCTTTTGGGACGAGTGTTTTCAGCCAACATTTGACATTCATCAATAAAAAATTCCTCTTAATGTTGTGTAGATGAATAAAATTAAGATCATGTGAAAACATTCACAGAAGTATACAAGATAGTCAATCAAATTCAGAAAACATATTTTTAAGATAAGTTTAGTAGTTATCTAATGGTTTTACTTTTTTTCATTAGTTTCAGCTTTTGTTTCATCTAGATATTGTTGCAGTTTTTCAACGATATCTTGGCTTCTTCTACCATTTGGTGCTGTTTTTTTTCTATATTGTTTGTTTTCCTAGCTTTAGTGCATTCACCTTTCCAATTTCCAAATATATTTTAGACTGCCACCCCTTCATGCAGAATATTTTTCCAATATCAGCTATTCTCATAGTCTCAACATACCTTTGAATCAAACAGTGTCCCAAACACCAAAATGAAGAAACCCTGTGGAGAATAAAGCATTCCATCATTACAAATGTAGTAAAAAAAAAAATCATTTTACATTATGGTACAATTGTGGCCACATTTACTGTGTGTAATACCTGTAGTGAGTTGAAGAATGCAAAGGCGATGTGGATGCCTGTATTTGTTGGCGATATCATGGTTCCAATTCCCAGTGACCAGGTTAATCCAAATAAGGGAGTCAAGATGGCCACACATCTTATGATGACTACCAGTGTATGTTTTTCATCTGGCTGGGCACTGTCTCCAATGCCTCTTCTAAGCATTTTGAACAAGACCACAATTATGATCATAATATTGATGAAAATTATGGCTAAGGCAGGTATCACCATGGCCAGAAGGGCTTTTGACTCCTCCCAGTTTAGCCAGCAAGCATAATCTTTCCTGATATAATTTTGTTCAATTGCCGTGACGATAACGGTAATGACAGCGATGATCAGTGGGCAACCGTAGCCCAAAGTGAAGCCTATGGCTAACATGGTGGACGTGGACATCTGGGAGAAGACCATGACTGTTCGGTAAAACAGCAGAAGGCCCGACGCCAGCATCCAAAAGAAAACGGCTAGGTAGGAAAAGTGCATGAAAAACGTTGCCGCGCTGCATTGTCCGACGGGAACTTCGTAGTTGCTTCCTGGGTTTTCGGCTGGGTTCTTCGCAACGAAGGCGGCAATGATGAAGCAGATGTCGGCGATCAACAGACACAGAGCAGTGTTGACGATGGAAACGTGGCGCAGCAGGGCCGTACTATTCCTGGTTATTTCCTTCCACACGTATCCTTCAATAGCGAGACATATAACTAAACTTGCCAGGGATATTCCGACGCCAACATAAGTGATAATATCCAAGAGGTCTTTGATCGTGTCGGGTATCTCCGTTGACATTAGGAGTGAGAAGGACGTCAGGTGGTTGCAGTTGCAGGTTACCTTTTGCGGCGTGTGGGAAACAACTTTGCAGCCCTCGTCATCCCAAGCCCCCAGTTCATCCAGGAGGGTAAAATTCCAAAAGACGCACTGTCTGTCCTTTTTCAGATTGCTATTCAGTGTGGTGTATGTCAAGCTGATATTGTTAATAGTTTGACTTAATCTGACAATAGCTACTGCAGCATTGATGGCATTACCAGAGTCATTTTGATTGCTGGTAGAATTTAGAAGGTTGACATCGAATGTAGAGGTCCTTGTTGGCATAACGTTGTTTAGAGTAGAAAGAATGATGGTGGTGATGAAGACACGCTTGAGACCCGTGTCTGGAATTTTTATGGAAACACTGGAATTCAGATTTTCTGAAAAAGAGTTGTTGAACTCAGATCTGCTTAGCTGGATTCGTTGAGATGTAGAGGTAAAATTAAAAGTCCCATTGGACAGTCTATCAGACAGTTGTTCCAGTGAACGCAATAATACTGAACTGGCATTTTTTGTTGCATTTGCATTGAGAAAATCCCAGGACTCTTTTGAATCGTCGCCAATGATGACATCAACAGTGTCCAGGACATTCTGTAGATCAAATAAAACACTTACTCAATATCAGGATCATGACTAATTCTTAAATGGTAGAGTGGAATGCGTGAAATACCTCTATAGTTTCTTGGGTGACATCAGTGGAAACACTTGCAATGGTTTCTACAATTTCAACAATAGTAGATATTGTTTCAGATGAGTCTGAAATTTCATCTTTTTCTTCCTTGACGGTTTGGCTTAAACTGGATGCAAAATCGTTCACCTTTTCTTGAACCAGACCCTGAAATAATAAAACAGTTACTGGCTTGTCGATTTTCTCGATATGGCTATGAGCGTGTTCTTTGTTACTGATAGATACAGAGCATATTCATGACCTGGTAAATGACTTACCTGTGACTCAATTTGTAATTCACTTATTTTGGTTACAACACAGGTGTCCTCAACAAGTTTCCATTTTCCTGTTTTTTGACATTCTGCCGTTTTGGACCCCTGTTGACCTTCACCACACATTATTCTTGCTCTGTCATCTTCTCGTCCATTTCCATATGTATCATCTTTGCATGTGGGCTCTTATGAAATATATATATATATATATGTACACATATACACACACACACATATATGTGTATATATATATATATACAGTGAGAGAGAGAGACAAATATATATTATTAGTCAGTGGAAGAGTATAACAACAAAGATATAGCATGACTAAATTTAAGATATTGTGCGTACCTTCATTGAAAATGTTCAGTGTTGTTGTCTTGTCATAATTGTCTTGGTTTTTGACTTTACATCTCAAAGTTACTGCCGATGGGCAGCTCTGTATACTGTAATCATGCTTGATGCATTCGGTTCCATCAGCAGTGTCTGTGTGCAATTGACAATTTTTTTTAAAGGCAATTAAAATCTATGTCTCAAACTTTTAAAATACTTATACTGAAGAGTTTATATGAATAAATAATGCTTACCAGAAAGTATTTGATCCTTGTCATCAAACCATTCGACCTTAAAAGGGGACTGGACACAACATGTAATTTTTATTTTGTTGGTTTGGCACTGAACATTGACTTCATCCTGAACTCGCACAACAGGAGCTGATTTGATGTTTTCTCTTGTCACAATGTGTTCCTGGTAGAAAGAAAAATCTGCACCTTTCAGAGTGCATTCATATTTTCCTGAAAATGAGAAAAGATAGACAAAGGGTAGAATTATTTCATTTTCTTTGCTAGACCAGAGTGGAGGGCTTAATAATTAGTTGATCAACTTGTTACGTTTGACTTGCAAATTAAATCTTTATTAAATTTGACAAAATTTGTAATATTTGTATTTATTTCTTAAATAAATTATATATTTCATTTATTTAATTCTTTAAATTTATTAAATTAAATGTTTCTCTTCTTGCAACTACTACCTGAATTTAGCATCATTATATCCTTGAAGATCTTAAACAAACAACAACGGGGTAACAGCCTCCCTAAAATACCTTGGCAAATAATGCCTATGGATTGGACCATGAGTAGTAAGGCGTGCAAGCTGACTTTTAACTCAGAATCAGAATTAAAAGGAAAATACGATTAACAGAAACCAAATTACACAACATTAACACACCTTAGATGGCCTTACATCACAGCAGTAATATGAGAAACATAGAACCTAAATTCATGCACTGTAATATCTGGAAAGGATTAGAAAATTTAAATTGTGTGGGCATCTTTGGTTAGTGGTACCTGAGTGGCAAATAATGTTGGTTTGACTTACCAATATCAGCAAGAATGACATTGGTTATTGTAAGTGTTGAGTCTTTCAGGGAAGTAGCCGTTTTTAATCTTCCTTCCTTAATTTCAAGCCCGTTAAATTTCCACTCAGAGGTTGTAATATCTCCCATGCTGATGTCACCAAATTCACATGTCAGTTTAAAGCTTTTTCCAGTAAAAGTGGATGATGAATAGGTAATCTGTTTTGGACCTATGGGAAGAATGAAACAGAGTACCTATCACTTAATTTAAAGCAAAAAAGAATATACAAAATAGTCACTTTGAACGTACTTCTGTACTCTGTTACGATTGAGCCAATGACTTTGCCAATTGGGGTCATAGCTTCTTTGAGCTTTTCATTTGCCTCAGTAAGTTGTGTTGCGTCAATTGTTGTAGTCCGTACAACAAAGTCTGCAATAATGCTACCCGGTCTGAAAGTATACAACAGAAACAAATTAATGATGAAATCATATACCGGACCTATCAACTCCTGAACCTTTTTTTTTGTGTGTGATAGCACGAAAAGGCTGTACCTGAATCCAGTAATAAATGCACTGATAAATCCACTCATACTTTTGTACTGGCTTGTCAACTGTTAAAAAAATGAGCAAACACACAAACAAACATATAAATATGTATATAAGCAACATTGGAACTATTCAAAAACGATAAACTTACCACTTTCTCAATCCTTGTTTTAAGGTCATTGTATGCAGCACTCTGTTTGTTATTTAAGTCTGGTGTAAACTCTCTGTCTAATTCAACTGACATTTCCATATCAAGTCCTGTTCATATAAAAGATGAGAGTGAAAACAATAATAGAACATTTAAACAACCGACAAGGCAGTATACATACATACAATTATGACCACTATTCCCAAGTAGTTATCACACACATTGCTTGAAGAATATGAAAATATGTATGCCTTATAACATTCATTACAATATATCCTCAAATTACAGCAGTTACTGTGCTGTCACCACAACTCATATCAAACTGTTGCAGCTAAAATGTCAGGCATTTTTAAGATTACAAAAAACACAGCTGAATGTTGGTTCCAAAACGTTTTGACAGACTGTGCAGCTTAACTCAGCTCAAAATCATTTTATCTGCCAATTTACAGAAGTATACAAGTATATATATGCATAATAACTATCTTAATTTATTTATCTGTGAGATTAACAAAAACGCAATATATTTTTTCACAGAAAAAAAATCAATTCAACATGAGTGAAATTAAAACGACAAAATTGCTACCATCTTATCTTTCTAAGCACACAGTAACAATAGTTTTTAAACTTTTAATATTTTTGACGTGCATCGTTCCTCAGGACTTAAAATATTCAAAATACATGGCAGGTAAAATGTCTATTTCAACTCAAGATATAGTAACCGTTTTTGTAACATTACCTGTCTCGGTGCTTGTAGAAGTTGTTGTTGCAGTGGTAGTACTCTGGGTGGTAGTGATAGTAGTTGTTGCCGTAGTGGTTGGGGTTGGGGTAGCAGTAGTGGTCTTTATCGTAGTGGTTGGGGTGGGGGTGGCAGTAGTAGTCGTCGTAGGGGTTGGAGTGGGAGTGATAGTAGTAGTCATTGTTGTGGTTGTTGTGGTGGCAATAGTAGTGGTTGTCGTAGTGGTTGGGGTGGGGGTGGCAGTGGTAGACGTTTTGATGGTGGTTGGGGTGGGGGTGGCAGTAGTAGACGTCGCAGTGGTTTTGGTGGGAGTGGTGGTCGTATTTATCGAAGTGGGGGTGTCA